CCCCCCCCCCCCCCGGTCCCACCCGAAGACAGTGATTTCTTACCCCTCCAACAGCGGAACTCCTGTCAGGATTCTCATGAAGGTGAGGACGTGGGCCGCCACGGGAGCTGACCCGGTTACCATCATCTGGATCCGATCGAGACCAAGAGCTGCCTGTGGAAGGACAAGAGCGGGGGGGGGGGGGGGGNGGGGGGGGGGGGGGGGGGGGGGGGGGGGGGGGGGGGGGGGGGGGCGACGCAGTCAGTAACGGCAGGAAGGAACAAGGAGAGCCGCAGCAGTTGACCTGTGGTATCACTTCTCGCTGTCAGGCGGCCGCAAAAGCAATAATGCGCTCTTGACAAGGCTCCGCCGTGATTGTAATGGCCCAACGCAACTCGACCACATCAGTAATAATGCGCTTTTGACAAGGCTCCGCCGTGATTGTAGTCGCCCAACGAAGCTCGACCGCTCCTTTCTCGGCGAAATCGAGACAAATCTACAGTCACACAGCTATTTAGCTGCTGCTGCGTTTCAGCACGCAGGTCACCAAGAGTAGCGACACAAGGCTTTTTTCCAGTTAAGCCAATGGTTCACCCACACGGAAGCAGGGGACCCTCTTGGCTACCGGATGTGATACCATCAAAAACTGGAACACGAAGAATCACGCCTCTTGCTCCCACCTTGATCTTGCCGAAGACGAGCTTATCCCACAGGGCATGCGTCAGGCGGCCCTCGTGCAGTCCTTGCACCTTCCGAAGACCACAAAAAAACACGCGAAACGAAGGGGTAAGGATAGACCAACCCCCAAGACCGCGGTCAAAAATCACGCGGTTGATGTGGTTGGATGGGTATACCCAACGAGGGAACCGTGCCGACATGAACAAGGGCATCTAAATCGGTACGGGTCATCACGGATACAACAGCTTCGTGACCAAAAACCGGAAGCGAGGGGGACACGAAAACAAGCTTGTGGCGTGAACATCGTTTCTCAAATGCCCATCTTCTCCTCAAGTGAGGGACGCTAAGCCCGTAAGGCCGACACACTTCTAAGAGTTACGAACTTGAAAAATACTTCCGCAGCCGGGACAGACTATACAAGGAAAAAAAACGGTTAGATCGAATACAACAAACTGCATGATTCCTGGAGATATTCATTCGCAGCCCAGATTATGCCCTTCGATAACCATGCGCAAAACAAAGCTGCAGCCTTGGTTAT